TCATGTCAGGTCAAGGGGTCTAAGGTTAAAGTCAATAAAAACGATGCTATATAAATCCTAATAGAAGTTCCCGGATGTTCTAAACCACTCTTAATAAGGTGGTAGAGAGAACGCTTATTACTGACATGGAGGAAGAAAACATTGTAATGAGAGTATAATTAAAGTATATTATTATGAGTATTATGAGTATAATATTAGTTGATGGCCTTGATCTACACTATACTTCATCATACGAAACATCATACATTAATAAAGTTTTCTTTCATAATGACCAGAAGCCAAGCTAACAATGAAAGATAAAACTTTCTTGCTGAAGATACATGACACATTAACCAGACACCGAAAGTCATTATGAAAGAAACATTAACACGAGAGGTTATAATGTCCAACAGCGAAAGTGAACTATCAGGGGGGGAAAGCGCCAAGCCATTACGACTATATAGCACTGGGAAGGGGTCAGGATAAGGATTTGGGATGGGACGGAGGGAAAGGAATGGTGCCCAATCACTTGGATGGTCCAGCCCAAGTGGTTGGGCTAGACGGTAGACTAAACAGCGAAAGAGAAATACCATTAGTACATTTGATAAGACAAAATGGCGGGTTGGACAAGTATATGAGGGGGATTGGGTGGTTATAGATAGGAGCTGCCTCGTATGGACCAATAGGCCTTCTGCAGTTACCTTTGTTCTTATGTTCTTAAATCATTACTCGTGTAGGAGCGGCAACGATATGCGTTATCAATTCACTACACGACTGTATCTGACGATTTTGAAAAATTATCAAACAAAATTACACACAGAAGTTAAGACATCGTAGAGATGAATGTAGATGATGCATAGATATAATTTAAACTGCACTGAAAAGTTTATATATCGCAGTGATGAGAATGTAAATTGTACACACGAATGTAGAAAATGTATATGGCAACAGACTCTTTGCTTACGAGCTTTATAGGTTACACAGACATTAGCTTATCAGTAATGTCACATAACAGGAGACTGTTAGAGCAAGTGATGACATGATTAAATAATAAACGGGTCTTCAACTCTTAGAACAAATACAGTAACCACTCAACCAGTCTTTAAAATATGAAATCGCAGAAAACTTAAATAAAGTCTCAATACATAAAGTCTCCATACATGCTACCGAAACCTTGCAACGACTGTAATAACCGGAAAATATGCAATTAATGACGAAGTCCATACATATAATCGACCAATAAGACATCAGAGTCTTAAGATATTTATCAGTTGTGTCCCAAAGTGATATAGCAATGCATTTAAGCGTCTTTGTAGATGAACTGTTCACAGCTCAACTGTTCGTAGAAAATAGTATGAACACGGGAGAGAACAGTTGGAGAGAGTGAAAGCCTGACTGATGGGAGAGTTATCTCGTAAGACTTTAAGATGGAGTGTTGCTTGTCTGTTTTGATTATTGGAGATGCTGCGGTGAGCTGGAGATGAGTGGGGATGCTGGGGAGGAGTCTTAGATGAGTGACGACCCTGGGAACGTGTCTGAGAAATGTGAGGATGCTGAGAATGATTCAGAGATGAGTGAGGATGCTGAGAATGATTCAGAGATGAGTGAGGATGCTGAGAATGATTCAGAGATGAGTGAGGATGCTGAGAATGATTCAGAGATGAGTGAGGATGCTGAGAATGATTCAGAGATGAGTGAGGATGCTGAGAATGATTCAGAGATGAGTGAGGATGCTGAGAATGATTCAGAGATGAGTGAGGATGCTGAGAATGATTCAGAGATGAGTGGGGATGCTGAGAATGATTCAGAGATGAGTGAGGATGCTGAGAATGATTCAGAGATGAGTGGGGATGCTGAGAATGATTCAGAGATGAGTGAGGATGCTGAGAATGATTCAGAGATGAGTGAGGATGCTGAGAATGATTCAGAGATGAGAGAGGATGCTGAGAATGATTCAGAGATGAGTGAGGATGCTGAGAATGATTCAGAGATGAGTGAGGATGCTGAGAATGATTCAGAGATGAGTGAGGATGCTGAGAATGATTCAGAGATGAGTGAGGATGCTGAGAATGATTCAGAGATGAGTGAGGATGCTGAGAATGATTCAGAGATGAGTGAGGATGCTGAGAATTATTCAAAGATGAGTGGGGATGCTGAGAATGATTCAGAGATGAGTGAGGATGCTGAGAATGATTCAAAGATGAGTGGGGATGCTGAGAATGATTCAGAGATGAGTGAGGATGCTGAGAATGATTCAGAGATGAGTGAGGATGCTGAGAATGATTCAGAGATGAGTGAGGATGCTGAGAATGATTCAAAGATGAGTGAGGATGCTGAGAATGATTCAGAGATGAGTGAGGATGCTGAGAATGATTCAGAGATGAGTGGGGATGCTGAGAATGATTCAGAGATGAGTGAGGATGCTGGAGACAAGTCTCGGATGAGTAAGTATTCTAGGGCCGAGCCTCAGATTAGTAAAGACGCTGAGGACGAGAAGAAGATGAGTAAGGATGATGGGTAGACGAATCGGAGATGAGTGAGAATGTTGGGGACTAACCGAGAGAGCAAAAGAAAGATAGAGATCAAGCTGAGAAATGAGTGAAGGAGGAGGAGAGAAAAAGACGGATTAGACCTTATCTATCTGTACGTATCTGCCAGAGACTTTATAAATTAATTATTGTAACATTTAAATTATTTGTCAAATCTGACCTTAAGGATGTGGAGGGAGGTGGCTTCTACAACTTTTTCTCTCAGTGCTTGAGGTTATCTTGAGATGATTTCGGGGCTTTAGTGTCCCCGCGGCCCGGTCCTCGACCAGGCCTCCACCCCCAGGAAGCAGCCCGTGACAGCTGACTAACTCCCAGGTACCTATTTTACTGCTAGGTAACAGGGGCATTCAGGGTGAAAGAAACTTTGCCCATTTGTTTCTGCCTCGTGCGGGAATCGAACCCGCGCCACAGACTTACGAGTCCTGCGCGCTATCCACCAGGCTACGAGGCCCCTCCCTCGCTTTGCAAATTGCTTTGTAGATTGGAGTGCTTTGCAAATTTCGTTTCCAGGTTCCACTTAAGTTTACTTTCCTATTTTCTCTCAATTTAAGGAGGTTGTCTGGTCCAATTTTATTCCTATTACCTCATATTTTAGATTTTTATATATACATTTTTACCTTAGATTTTTAGATACCTTTTAATTTTTAGCTTTTTCTATTGCCTCTTATTTTTTTTAGATATTTATTAATTCCAGTAACTAATGTTTAGTGATCAAATCTCTTATGTTTCTTCTGTCATTTGGGGGCGAGATTAATTTCCCTTAACATATCTCTGTCGCGTAAACCTCTCAGTTCTGGGACTTAATTCCAGTTCGGTTTCCCTGTGTTACGGACCCGAGTCCAGCGTCCGAGCACGGAGCAGTGACGACAACACCATCTGTGAGTCTGCTCCCGAAACCCCCTCCAAATGGACAGCGCCATCTAGTGAGGACGGGATATACCGGCCACAGGTGATGGATTCCCGTCTTGATCAGCTCATAACATAGCCGCTGCTGACCTGTGGTGAGGTGGCGCTTAGACAGCAACGCCATCTATGGAGTGGATAGGTGGACGTTTGTGTCTAAGCCTGTAAGTGAGGTTCCCTAGTCCCAGTATTAATGACGTGTCTGATTACAGAGTCGACCTGGGACTGCTGTATTGGACGATGGGGCAGTCTACCCAAGGCAGTCAAAGTCTCTCCACGAGTTTGCTCTGAAGAAGCTGTGAGTCACCCCCGGACGAACACTATTGAGAGTGTTAGCCTGCCTGTGACGTGGCAGAGTCGAGGAATCGTCGTATCCGGGGCTGGCTGGTGGAAGAGACTAGCCACTGTGGTACTGAGAGAGGAGAGTGATCAGCGGAATCACACAAGACTCCTGCCTAGGGCTCGCAACCCTAGTAACGGTCGTGGAGTGGCCTACACAGCGGAGCTGATCGGAACCTGCCAGCTACAGGCTGGATTGGTGGTTGAAGGCCTCCACGACGGAGCACCCAGTGGGACTGTGATTTGGCTGGCCTGTGGCCAGGGTAGATTCGCAGAGAGAATCAAACAGGATTCATCGTGGGCCGAAGAAGAGAACCAGGGCTACTCATCGTGAGCACTGTGGAGCATCCTGTGTCTTCAGAGGAAGACAATCCTGTACATTATAGTGTTTATAACCCCCGTGTGACTGTTTATATATTTATTTATGGTGGTGGTGATTATATATATAAATCCGAGCATTTGTATCCCTTCCCCTTTAATTTAACTTGCGTTACGGAACACACCCCTTGAAAGCCACTACTAACTTGAGGCCGGATTCCCGAATTCTAATATCACCAGAAAAGAACCCGGTTGCGACCCAGTAGGGCCGTAACACCCTGGAAGCACAAACCGTAACTGCCTCTATTTTCCGCTTGTTACAACTTGTAATAAAGTTGTTCCATCTTGGCTTAACGTGTTTATGACGTATTAGAACGTTGTTACAACTTGCTATATTGGTTGTTATAACTGGTTAGAAGGTGTTAAAACTTGTTCGAACGTTGTACCAACGTCGTGGTTTCGGTGTTTGGCGGGATTTGCTTCACCAGGTGCGGGTTTCAGGCCGATGCTGCTTACACTTGTGTTTTTCACAGCAAGATGTATATGTTCTCTTAGAGACATTACTGAGGATTATAATAGAAACGTGTTCTAATGTTTACCCGAAAATTCCCCCATATGGTATTAAAGTAACCTTATTAACGTGGACCTCCAGTGTCAGTTCAGGAATTATATTCACTCAAATTGTTTTCTTATTGAATGTTATATTGCTCAGTCATCTGCACAGTCATATATTGCACAGTCATCTGCACAGTCATATATTGCTCAGTCATCTGCACAGTCATATATTGCACAGTCATCTGCACAGTCATCTGCACAGTCATATATTGCACAGTCATCTGCACAGTCATATATTGCACAGTCATCTGCACAGTCAAATATTGCACAGTCATCTGCACAGTCATATATTGCTCAGTCATCTGCACAGTCATATATTGCACAGTCATCTGCAATATCACGCTATGATAATTAGCGTGTTATTGCACATGAAGGTGGCCGAGGAAAAGTAATATCGTACAGAAGGTGACGCAGAAATGCCTTACACGCTTTTCCGTCTCCGACAATGGTAAAGTGTGTATAGGTGTAACCAAGACTTGAGATTGGTGGAAGATGACAGTTTCCCGGATGAGGAACTCTACAGACTCGTCAGCTCTTGTAGTCACTCACGCCTCACCGCTTAGTTCCAGACTCTTGGAAGACATGACCAATGGGAGACATTCGTCATGTGTTCCGTTGAGGTCAAGACTCTGTTCATTTGCAGGCGATGAGTCACAATAACGTGGCTGAAGTATGTTGACCAGACCACACACTAGAAATTGAAGGGACGACGACGTTTCAGTCCGTCCTGGACCATTCTCAAGTCGATTTCTGTTCATTTAACACCGTAGGGTTCAGGAGTGTTAAATGAAAAAGTCCATAAGGGCCGTGACGAGGATTCGAACCTGCGTCCGAGAGCATACCAGACGCTGCCTTAATCAACTGAGCTATGATATGGAAAAAAATTGCAACCAGAAGTTCTATAGAACTAACAGTGAGTGACATGACTCCATCAGTCGGTGACATGACTCCATCAGTCGGTGACATGACTCCATCAGTGGTGACATGACTTCATCAGTGGGTGACATGACTCCATCAGTGATGACATGTCCCTATCAGTGGGTGACATGACTCCATCAGTGGGTGACATGACTCCATCAGTGAGTGACATGACTCCATCAGTGGGTGACATGACTCCATCAGTGGGTGACATGACTCCATCACTGGTGACATGACTCTATCAGTGGGTGACATGACTCCATCAGTGGTGACATGACTCCATCAGTGGGTAACATGACTCCATCAGTGGTGACATGACTCCATCAGTGGGTGACATGACTCCATCACTGGTGACATGACTCCATCAGTTGGTAATATGACTCCATCAGTGGTGACATGTCCCCATCAGTGGGTAACATGACTCCATCAGTGGTGACATGTCCCCATCAGTGGGTAACATGACTCCATCAGTGGGTAACATGACTCCATCAGTGGTGACATGTCCACATCAGTGGGTAACATGACTCCATCAGTGGTGACATGTCCCCATCAGTGGGTTACATGACTCCATCAGTGGGTAACATGACTCCATCAGTGGGTGACATGACTCTATCACTGGTGACATGACTCTATCAGTGGGTGACATGACTCCATCAGTGGGTGACATGACTCCATCAGTGGATGACATGACTCCATCAGTGGGTAACATGACTCCATCAGTGGATAACATGACTCCATCAGTGGGTAACATGACTCCATCAGTGGGTGACATGACTCCATCAGTGGGTGACATGACTCCATCAGTGGTGACATGACTCCATCAGTGGGTGACATGACTCCATCAGTGGTGACATGACTCCATCAGTGGGTAACATGTCCCCATCAGTGGGTGACATGACCCCATCAGTGGGTAACATGACTCCATCAGTGGGTAACATGACTCCATCAGTGGGTAACATGACTCCATCACTGGGTGATATGTCCCCATCAGTGGGTGACATGACTCCATCAGTGGGTGACATGTCCCCATCAGTGGGTAACATGACTCCATCAGTGGGTGACATGACTCCATCAGTGGTGACATGTCCCCATCAGTGGGTAACATGACTCCATCAGTGGGTAACATGACTCCATCAGTGGTGACATGTCCCCATCAGTGGGTAACATGACTCCATCAGTGGTGACATGTCCCCATCAGTGGGTTACATGACTCCATCAGTGGGTAACATGACTCCATCAGTGGGTAACATGACTCCATCAGTGGGTGACATGACTCTATCACTGGTGACATGACTCTATCAGTGGGTGACATGACTCCATCAGTGGGTGACATGACTCCATCAGTGGATGACATGACTCCATCAGTGGGTAACATGACTCCATCAGTGGGTAACATGACTCCATCAGTGGGTAACATGACTCCATCAGTGGGTGACATGACTCCATCAGTGGGTGACATGACTCCATCAGTGGTGACATGACTCCATCAGTGGGTGACATGACTCCATCAGTGGTGACATGACTCCATCAGTGGGTAACATGTCCCCATCAGTGGGTGACATGACCCCATCAGTGGGTAACATGACTCCATCAGTGGGTAACATGACTCCATCAGTGGGTAACATGACTCCATCACTGGGTGACATGTCCCCATCAGTGGGTGACATGACTCCATCAGTGGGTGACATGTCCCCATCAGTGGGTAACATGACTCCATCAGTGGGTGACATGACTCCATGAGTGGTGACATGTCCCCATCAGTGGGTAACATGACTCCATCACTGGGTGACATGACCCCATCATTGTGTGACATGACAAATTACTAAACTTGTAATTAATCCCAAATATTACTAATTATGAAGTGATTAAAATTATATAA